AGAACCTTAATTAAGGAGCAGGTTGCTTCTGAAAACAACCAGCACACTTCAAAAGGCTGAAGCTGTATTTTTAATGGGAGCAAAGAAGAGAAAACAGGGTCAAACCAGACAGTGTGTGTGCCTTGTTCTCACCCCATTCATGCTGCACATGGGGTGCTCTGCTGGCATTTTAAAAACAGCACTGGAACATCTGCCACCCAAAGAATTGGGGAGTGTGGGAGGGGATGTGGTTTATTCAAAAGCCTCTGCTCCCCTATGGAAGCAGAAGATCAGCCAGATGTACTTTTATTTTTCCCCTCCACCAAGTCCTGGTCTTTTCCCCATTGATTTCAGCTGATTCAGGATATCCCTATTATTCTTTTTTCCCCCCTAGCTAGGTGATTTCACTTTATGAATGCAGGAGGCAAACTGATCCTATCCCATCCTCTGATCACACCATATCATATCATATCAGGTGGTTTAAAGAAAACAAGAATTGAGTTTTTTGAACACATGGCACATTTTTAGGACCTCAGTTCCTACAGAGCTCGGTGTCCTGGAAGAAACATCTCAAAAACTCCTGCACCCCTCAGTCAGTCACTCAGTTATTCTGTAAGGTTTTAAACAGATCATTTATACTTCTGGAATTAAGAGAGATGGCTTTTCCCTTTGTACCTGTGTGGTTTAAATGATGTTCCAGGAAAATCCAGTACAGTTTCTTTAGGAAGGCACACAAGCAAGAAGAAGGACGATGGACTCTTTGCTGAATGCAGCTTCCAGAAGTGTCGAGTGCCATCCCACAGGATTTATAAATATTACTGGGATTAATCTCCTTTKCACCTTTAGGGAGCTGCACAGGGATTGCTGCAAGTCTGGCCTTGTGCTGTTTATTTTGGAAAAGAATTCTGAAAGYTACACCCAACGTCAAGAAGAGATTGATGTGACAGATTAAGATAAATGCACAAAACACTTTCATTTTCTTTATTTTCAATCGATACTGTATGAATACAAAGTTTCTAGAAAGCTACAAAAATTCTACCACTTTATCAAGAAGGCATCAAAATGTGTCACTTTGCAAAGACATGAACACCTGCAGTAACTGACACAAAAATAGCATTTTTAGAGTGATGAAATAATTGCACTTAACTGTCATGGATATTAAAGTTATCACACATATGTACCGCGAAAGCTAGAATACATTTTTTTTTTTTTTTTACAAAGCACTTTATAAAAAAATTCTCTGCACACAAAACCTATAATTTTCATATTACTATCATACTAAAGATAAATTCACTTTAAAGCCAACACTTAAAACATTTTAAACAAAAAAAAAAGGTACCAGTACCTACACACAGACAATAACAAATACAAGAATACTGTACTGCCAAGAGGTTTGACTGAAACTCCTTTTGAAAGCTTCTGCAAATATGTTAAAACATTGGAGAACATTCAGGTTTTTTTTTCCAAAAGCCTTCCCTCACTGTCTAACCTAGAGGTACTTTATCATCAAAAGGCAAGTTCTACATCAAAAGTTACCAGCAGCAGTACAATATTAAAGTAACCACTGACCATATATGAATATGCTTAAGTCACAAACCCATTTTATACACATTACACAAATAAACATAAAGTGAGAATTCCATTAAGTCATTTACAAATGTGAACAAATGCACATGGCAAAAAAAAACCCCAAAACAAAACAAAAACCCAACTTGTTTTACATAAAATGTACTGAAGAATTAAAGGCTATTCAGGTTTTCAGTGTTACAAAATTCTTTTGTCTTTTTTTTTTTTTATTTTTCAGGCACATATTGTATTTTTTGTCTGCAGTCATGAGCCTGAATCAGAGGCCCATAAAACAAAACAAAACAAAAACAAAAACACATATTCTGTAAGGAGGTAACAGGGATCCATCTCCTTTTAGTCAACCGAGTGCATTTAAGGTTTAATTTATACACTAAAACTAATTACACCATCTCAGCAAGAATGACCTGAAAAGTTAAAAATGAAGATGTCCAGAGTGTTTCTTGTACTTTGAMTTATCCAGCCTCAATCTTTTTTTTGGGGGGGGGGATAAATATCTTGTTGTGAAAGATCAGAGGGGGAAGGGGATCATCCTGAGCAAAGGACAAAGTCGGGCTCGATTCCATCACTGAATCCTCAGGGAAAAGGGAAGGGAAGGACAGCAGAGCTCTCAGAGTGACTGAAAACTCCAGGAAAACAGCAGAGGGGAAATAAATATCTGGGGATGAGCACATCAGTCCAATGTGTGTGTGCCTGGGCTGGCCAGTCCCACATTCATCCATGTTCACCTTCATTGTTCCCAGAGCCAGCGGGACAGAACTGCCAAATTGGCAAACTGAAAACAGCCATGACATCTGCAATTCCTTCAAATAGTGGTGCAGTACCTAAGGAAAATCCATCTGGAGTTCAAGTAAGTWAAACTACATCTGTTAGTAGCGATTTTCAACACCCCCCAATGGTACCTTTATGGTTGTTTGGATGAGACAGAGGTGTAGTTTATCACAAATATTGACTGGCATGGCTGAAATGTTTGGCAATAACTGAAAAAGTGTCTTTGCCCTACCTCAATCTCATTGAATTCAACAGGATTACTYGTCCTGTAGAGGTAAGTGAGATTTAGACCTTGAAGGAATAACAAAAATAATATTTTAGAGAAAGGGAATTTGAATTATCACAATATTTACCACACAGTTTCACAATATTTCTCTATATAAAAAGTTAATCTTAAGTTTTTCATCAAATACTTTAAAAATCAAGTTAAAATTGTATTCACAGCTATATAATCCCTCTGACAGCTTTTGGTTTTGCTGATATTTGTTCTTTCTAGAATTGTTAAAAGGTTGCTCCTCTTCCCATGGATTTCAGTTGCAGTGGAGAGTTTGGCCCCAAAGGTATCAAATACAGATATATTGTGAAGAGGAGCTATTTTTTCTTTTTTTTTTAAGAAGGAAAACAAAACAACCCTATGTTTTGAGTCGTGCTGGCCAGAGTTTCTCCAGCAGTACCTTCATCCACAATGCTCACACTCAACATTTCACTGCTTGAACCCACAATTGCATTTCCCTCGCTCTGCTCAGTTCTCCATGTCCATCTTTGATGGATCTGACCTTCAGCACGCACAATTTGTAAACAAAATCTTCTGTCTAAACAAAGGAACTTCACAGATACCAAAATATGGTTACAAGAGATCACTGAAGCTGTGTTTGTCCGCTGAGATTCTGCACTRCACAGATCTCTCGTTATGCAGATGGGCGACTCGATGAGCAGAATACAAATGGGAATATTTTCATTTTTACATCACAGACAAATCAGTTGCTGGTTTGCAATGCTGTCAGAAATGGCAAACAGTAGATTATTCTTTAGCAAAATCCCTTTACTATGAATGGTGCTCTTTTGTGAATGGAGGCCTGTAGATTCAACTTATTCCAATAAACCAAAGGCATTACGGTGATAACTACATATTTTTGGTCTCTCTACAAATTGTCATTATTATGGCAGCACTTTTCTAAGCTGGAATTTCAAACCAAAGGCACTTTCATGCTAGAGTGCAGAAGAGTCACAATTAATTATTTGGTCATGAAATTTCAAAAGGCAGCATTCATKAACACGATTCACTTTTCACAGAGAACCAGGAATCTGTAACTTTTCCTTTTGGTATAGGCATTTCACTGCAATGGGACTGACTTGGACAGACAGCTGGCTCACACCAAGCAGTCAAAGAGCATTTCTGGGGGGGAAAAATACAGAGATTTTAAAAAATGGAACCAATTAATAAAACAATATATAAAATTTATGTTAAGAGGCTAAGGGTACTTCTAATATAATACTAAGGCACTGCATATTGTAATGCTTTGGCAGCTCTCAATTGAAAGGTTCCTACAAAAAATAACAGTAACAAGATAAATACTTCCAGCTTACAAAAGAGCTCACAGTTTACAGGCAGCCTGTTGGACTACACACCCCACACTCAACAGTTGAAGGATTAAGGCTTTTCACAATTAACATATACAGGGCACGGATCATTTACAGAATGTAAAGAAAAGACARTGGGAGTAGTTTCCCTAATATTACACATGTGAACACAAATAAACATTGTGACTGTTTATACCCTATACTGATGGCATATGTAGTGTGCCAGATCCTATTAAAAAAAAAAACAAACTGTACCTGGTTTTGCAAATTGATTTACATACTTTATATGCCTTAGAGAGTTTGTTTGTTATTAAACAAAAAAATAAATTTAAAAAAATCACCAAACCCACAATTCAAAACCTAAATAAAAGACAACTTTAGAACAAAAAACAAAAAGTAGTTTTTGACTTGTAACACCAAGTGCTTAGAATAAAGGGCTACCATTAGGCTGTTCCAATGCAGTGCTTTTCCTGATGTGATTGTTAGTGTTAAAAATGAGCGTTYAAAGAGACCCTACCATGGACACATTTCTCTGTTCAGTTTGCAGAAAAGATCATCAGCCCTAATATCCCCAAGCAGGTGAGTGCCAGACATCACAGCAACATCCAGAGCATCCCCTGACGGAGGCTGAGGGTTCAATCTGCCTTCCCCTGGTGATGTTTGCATCCTCCTCAAACTCAGACCTCCCCATTATCATGGTCTGACCCACTGCCTCATCCAGGCTCTGTTCTAGTCCAGAAATCTCTACASTGGGCAATTCCAACAGAAAGGACGATGCAGGAATAGAATTTAAAGAAAAAAGTTAGGCTTGCTTGTTTGAAGATTACAGCACTGTGCCTGGGGGTAAATTCTCCATTTCAATTGCAGATGGGAGCACAGTGTGAAGGGAAGGGAGGAGGGAATGCTGAACAGTAAACCAATTTCTCCACTTTCCAATCTTTTTGCCTGATGTTGGCTGTGATTTTCCAGCATCTCCCAGATATTAAAGCTGCTGATCCTTTCAGAGGTGTGCACACTCTTCTTTMAACACATCAGTGTTTCTGTTTGTTTGAATGCCTTGATGCTGTGGCAATGTCAGGTGTTCCCGTTCATCTCTTCATTTCAGAGTTGCAAGTTTTTTGCTCAACTTATTAGAAAACATAGTTGTCCRTATAAAATATAACTGCACACACAAGACTACATATAATGCAAGTCTAAATCTTCAGTATTTACCTACTTATTGCAAAATGAGCCATCTTTTTCATTAAATAATCAAATTTTCATATTAGTACAATACAACTTTATACTCTTTTAAAATACACTAGATATGTTAGGGGTAAGGGATGATGTTKTCTTTCTCTGCAATACCTGTTTGAAAGTTTAATGGATTAGAAGATTAGTTTTAGCGTTGAGAAAAAAATACAAAATTTGCCTAATTTTAGGACCTGTCTGTTTCTATCAGGCATTTCTTAAGGCTATATTTTTCATTTGGTTTCAAACAGAAAAAATGTTTCATTTTAAAAAATAATTTAGTGAATTACATTCGTCCATATCTTCCACCCTAATTAGTTACAAAGATAATTCTATAAAGATTATTAACTTTGTGTACTCATTTACAGTTATAGCTAAAGATTCATTTCAATTCCACTTGCATTGTAAAACAAGTATCTCACGTTGGAAAAAAACCCAAAATAAATTCTTATAAATGCTGTCAGTTTTTCCCATGGCAAATGCTCTGTCATACATTTTTCTATCAGAATTAAAAATAGGCCTCCACAGACAGAGGCRTTAGGTTCTTAAATACAGTCTTCCCAAAGAACTGTGGTTTACAAATTTGAAGAACACTTAGTTTTAGAAATAATTTTTACAACTGTACCAGAATTTCACAGCTACAATTATATATGAACACATTAAAAATGACTTCACTAAAACAGGATTTAGAAAAATGYGGGTGAAAGTTGGGCCAGAGGCACTGCCACTTAGTGTTGAGGTTTACAGTCAGTTTTGATAAAGAAGTGAAATGAAGTGTATCTATAAAYAACTGCTCAGTCCTTCACGAGCCTGTAGATGTGATGCTGTGCTCCGTGTTCGCTGTTGGACACCTCGAACACACACGCCATGCAGAGCAGGGTCTCCTGTGTGTCCCTGTTTGTGACCACCTGCATGGGG